CCTCCTAGCGCCTCCCAGCCACCCCGCCCCAGGCCGGGCGCCGGGAAATGGGCGGGAAGGCCGCGCGGCACGAGCCCGCGCCCCCTTCCAATCAATGCCGCCCGTCGCCCGCTCGCGGCTTCCCATTGGTCAGCTCTCTCCGGAGGCGGGGAGAAGGGGGCCGGGCGTCTGCCTGCCTCTTGGCCAATCGCCGGGCCCACCGCGCGCGCCCCTGGTTGCCCCTGGAAACCCAACAGCCGGCGTCTGGGATCCGCCGCGCCAGCCGACCTGGAGGGAAGATGGACCGCAGCTCCGAGCACCGTGGGGACCTCGGGGGGGAAGACGGAGATGTGGCTAACCTGTCCCCCAAACTGTCCGGGATCAAGGCCACCCCCGGCCCCCACTCCCCGGCCGAACCGCCGGAGCCGGAGCCGGGGGCCATAGAGGCTTCGGAGGGAGGTGCCGCGGAGGACGAGCCCGCCGAGCCCCGGGAAGCGCCGGCGGCCACCGCGGCTGTGGACCAGGCGGGACCCGGGGAGCCGGAGCCGCCGGCCGAGGCGGAGACCGAGCCGGAACCCGGGGAGCCGGCCGACGCCGGGCCTGAGGAGACAGCCCAGCCGGGGCCCGGAGGCGGGTCCGCGGAACCGGAGGAGAGGGCGGAGGAGGAGGAGGAGGAGGAGGAGGAGGAGGAGGAGGAGGAAGAGGGGGAGGAGTCGGAGGAGGGAGCGGAGGCCGCGGCAGCGGCGGTCAAGGGGAGGAGGAAGAAAGCCCCCTCGGCGGTCTCTGTGCCGCTGTCCACCACCGGCCGGGAAGAGGCTGCGCCAACCCGGGAGGCTGAGCAGGAGGAGGGGGAGGAGGAGGAGGAGAGCGAGGGAATCAAGGCGAGGGGTGTGCGAGGACACCCGGTGAAAAGCAAGGAAAAGGAGGAAGGTGAGAGACTGGACGAGGAGGAGGATGAATGGACGGAGGAGACGCAGAAGCTGCAGGAGCACCAGCTGCGCGCGGAGCTCCTGGAACAGTACCGGTCGCTGGTGGTAGAGCGCAGCAACTACCAGCGTTACAACATGTACCTGCAGCACAAGATCTCCGAGGCGCTGCGCAAGAAGAAGGGCCTGGATGCGGCCGAGGTGCCCGACAAGGGCATGGAGCCCGAGGCCCCAGAGAAAGAGCAAGCATACCTCCGCCATCTGGCCTTGCTGGAGGAGCTGAGGAAGCAACAGGCAGACGACCTGGACTGGTATCACCAGGAGCTGAAGCAGCTGAAGCAGCAGTGCAAGGAGGTGCTCTCCAGCGTGGAGAAGGAATGGGCAAGCTTCCAGGCCCTCAAGAGGCAGGTGGTGATGCAGGCCATGGGCAGCTGCCGGATGCGCGGCGGTCGCCAGGCTGCTCTGCGAGAGGTGGAGCAGATCCAGGAGCTGGAGGCTAAGAAGGAGGAGGAGATGCGCGCCGTGAGGCTGGAGAACGTGCAGCTAAAGCAGAGCTTGGTGCATTTTGAAACGCGGACGAGGGCCCAGGAGGACCTGACGGAGGGGCTGCTCCTCATCGATTTTGAACAGCTGAAGATTGAGAACCAGACCTTCAATGAGAAGGTGGAGGAGCGAAATGAGGAACTTTTAAAACTGCACAACAAGATGACCAACAACGTGCAAATAATAACCCACGTGAAGGAGAAGTTACACTTTGTGGACATAGAAAATGTGGGCAAAAAGACACAGCTTTTGGAAATGGAGGCCCAGGTGGCCCTGAGGAGGGACATCCTGACCAGGAGGAAGCAGGCCCGGGACAGCCTGCGGGCTGACAACATCAAGCTGAACCAGAGGTGCGGGCTTCTGGGCAAGGAGCTGCTCCTTCGGGACATGGAAGAGAAGGTGGGCAGCACAGAAGTGCTCACCCGGCGCCTGGAGTCCCTGAAGCGCCATCACGCTGGGCTGACTATGTCCTGCAGAGGTATGAAGCAGAAGATCAGGGAGGCCAAAGCCTTTCTCCCATCTTAACACCCACGATCGCAAGAGTCGGCAGAACGTCTTTGATCTCGGCAACTTTTATCCTTCGTTAACTTCTATTCTCCACCTGTGGCCCTCCTTCAAAGGCCTACGGTGTTGGGGATGATGCTGTGTTTTGTATTAATCTCATCATTTTCAGCTCCTCAATTAGTCCTGAGCAAAATTGGGCTAGCCGTCAACTTTACACGGGGTGAAGTCAAACAGGCCCAAAGAAACAGCTGTGATGACTTAATGTACCTGACTTCTAGAAGCCTTGCGGTAGCGGAGCAATTCCGTCATTTCAATGACCTGATCCTGAGGAAAACTTCCTCGTCCATATGTCAGAGGGTTCAACAAACGGGCGCGGAACCAAGAAATGTCCTGTGCATTCAGCTAATTATTAAATTCCCTTTGAATGTATTAAACTGTGTAGTTCTGAGTCACATCCTCAACTCAAAGCTCACTAGTTTCCTTCGATGAATCTAAACTTGTTTTGTATGTAAGCAGCACTGGCTTCTGGGTAATAAACAAGATGAGGGAAACGGGAGAAATGACAAATAGGAAAAGGAGCTGAGGTTCTGTCCTCTGTCCTCTTTCCACCAGAGGAGGCTCGGTCTGCTTGACCGTTAACGCTTGCTTCTGGCTCAACGACAGTCTGCAATTCTAACGAAACGTTTTCTGGGATCCTCTCAAGAAACGCAATTATCTACACAAAGACATGAAACTCTGTTGTCCGTAAGCCTTTCGTTCTTGGCAAGGTATTTTTGGATCTTGGCAAGAGGCCCCTCACTATGCATGTGATTTTACTCTGTATCAAATATTAAAGTGTCTACTATTCCTTGCGTTAATGTAAGAAACACCTGATAGGTCCACCTCTTTCGTCCAGAATCAGTGATTCCATTTCCAGTTTCCTTTGGTGCCTTTGGAGCTAGGGGCTTGGCTTTGTTTCTTCTTAGCTTTCAGCTGAATTTGGAGATGGGCAGATTTGGGATTAGAAGTATTCTCCCATCCCTAAGCTTAAGTAGGTCGTAAGAAGGATGAGCTGGCTTTGGGTGCCGAACACCTGTAAAGGAGGACAGAAACCCCTCTCCGGGCAGATGACGCAGTTCGTCGTGAGAAGCTCACGGTGACTCTAGCTTCTGGGGCTGCGACTGTCTTCTAAGGTGTGTTCCCTCTGAAGCCAATAGAGGCTGATTAAAATTCCTTTCCTAACTTTTACAGCTTGGACGCACTCGTTTATAGGATCACACTTGTCAAACCGCACAAACATAACAATGAGGGGAGTACAAAGCATTCACTTCCTGCTTCCTCTTCCACCCTCCCCATCCTTTCCACTTGTCCTCCCTCCACCCCGTTCATCAAGGCCAAGGCGACGTAGCAAATCGCCAGCAAGCAGAACTCTGTTTTCTTTGTGCCTCGTGCTAGGAGCAGCACAGACCCGCTGGGGTCTTCGGTGGTTGGGAAGGCTCCCGAGTGAACCTGGCATTGTGCTTGGTGCCGCCCCCCAGCTAGCAGCTTTCACAGCCGGAGTGTCTGTCCCCTGGGCTCACTAGCGGGGGAGTAAGTATTTTCAGCTGACTTTGACCCACTGGTAATTACCCAGGCCGCACCAAGCACCCCCTCATCAGCCTTGAACCGGGTAGACAGGCCTCTTGAGAGCACGAGAAACAGAGATTGATGAAGCTGGCATTGCTCTAAGCTGCAAAGTTACCAGTGTTCTCTCAAATTACATTCTCCCACGCTAGAGATGTTACAGTTCATTCGAAGATAAATAATCTTCTGCTGATGACCTCACAACGAGGTTCCTTCTAATTAAATTACAGGAGAGCCTTTGATCATGAAACAGCAACCCATTCACGAAGTGCTGCTTCAGCTCGCCTCTGAGGGAGAATGCCACAGACCCCGCAGTCTTACTGACGGGCCCCATCCCAGCCTCTGACCCACTGCTCTGCGACTGTGTGCGCAGTCCTCTGGGCCCCGGGGACACAGAGGCCTGGGAGGTGAGGACGGCCATCCTCCCTCGGAGCCAGGACGGTGCCTACCTGAGCCCATAATCGATGCTCTGTAATTTGTTGGATTATTAACACATCAACATCATAGCATTCTCGTTTTCTGGCAAAAGTGTTGCTCAAATGCCTAGGATAGGCAGACGCTGCTAGTCCTGTATCAGACTTGAGAAATAATCACAGGCAGAAAGAGGTTTCCAGAACTAGAACCGATGAGGAAAACGACGGTCCATTCTAGAGAGACCGCCTCCAGGGAGCCTGCCTGCCTCTAGAAGGTAAAGAGGGGGCGGTGGCTAGACTAGAGACCTCGGACATCAAAGGCTTTTTTAAAGATCTTGTCAAAAGAGAGGGCCTGCAGAACGCACGTACAATACAGTCTGAGATGTTACACGGCACGACTTCTTTTTAAATGGGTCGGAGTTGGAAGTGGCCCCTTGGGCGTCACGGGCGGCTTGTGTGGTTGGGCAGCATGGGTGGGAGGGAATCAGGCACCATCTGCGTAGAGCCCAAGGCATCGAAAAGAAAACACTTTTCATTGGTAGGTGGATGTCGTTTCTGGTGGCTTACCGCATTCAAGATTTTTAAATGACATAAGTGGAGAAACATGCTTTCTTTTT